AATGTTTTTTTTTTTTTTTTTTTTTTTTTTTTTTTTTTTTTTTTTTTTTGAGGACAGTTTAAAACACAATTTCAGCCCCTCCACAGCAGCACAGTCTGTCCCTGATGTCCTCTGCTGGGGCTGCTGAGCTGTCCCACAGCCGCTCTGTGTGCACCCAGCAGGCTGAAGCCCTCCAGGCTGCTCCAGCTCTGGGGAGCTCCCCAGGTCATGGACACAGCAGGTCATGGACACAGCACTGCCAGCCATACTTCTCAGGGCAGAATATCTGCTCCCTGAGGTTCACAACTGAATTTCCACAACACAGAGAGTTAAAAAAAAAACAAAACAACCAAAACCAAACTACAAACAAGCAGAGAGTAGTGGGGCTGTAACAGCTGAAGGTTTACGACAGTTTTACCAACTCTGACAAGGTACAATTTCCTATTCCCATTGCTCTGACCTGAAGCATTTGTGGTAAAATGTTAAGCAGTTTCCTAAGGCTGGGGCCCAGGCCAGGACTGCTCAATGTCACAGCCAGTGCCAGGCTGGACTAAACCATCCTTCCTCTTCCATCGTGGTGGGGGTGCCTGGGTGTTTCCTACATGACCACTCAAGCCCTGGGGTCCTTGACTAGGGACTCCATAACAGAATGACAGGATCCTCTGAGTCCAGCCATCAACCCAGGAACAAAACACCATGCCCACCAGATCATGTCCTGAGGTGCCACATCTATGTGGGTTTTTTAATACCTAACAAGTACTTCCACACCCTCACAGCCCCAGCTTGGGGCTGATCCTCACACATCCTTCAAGGGGGACAAACCCAGCACTAGTTCTAGCTCAAGCACAGGCTACGTGCCAACATCTTTACACAAAAATAGGTTCTCTCTAGGCCATTCACATGCAACTCAAAAGGCCAGAAGCAGCTACCTACAACAAAACAACCTGTACAAGGTCAACGTTTGCCACACGCAGCAGATTGTTCCGCCCTGGCCCTGCTGCTCCAGGGCTCAGGAGCCCGAGGTGTTGTTGCTGCCAAACCGCTGGTTGACGCTGTGCAGCAAGTGCTTGGGGAGGCAATTCCAGGAACTGGCCAGCATCTCCTTGAAGCAGATGACTGCTTCCAGGCACAGCCTGGGGGAGAGGGAAACAGGCCGGGGTTAGCTGGGACACGGGCTGCAGGGTCAGCTTGTTCTTTGTGGCTGTGGAGTGAGGGCTTGTTCTCATTGGTGCCAAGTCACAGAATCGTGGGATGATTTGGACTGGAAAGGACCCAACCGCCCCTGCATGGGCAGGGACACCTCCCACCAGCCCAGGCTGCTCCAAGCCCCATCCAACCTGCCCTTCAACACTGCCAGGGATGGGGCAGCCACAGCTTCTCTGTGCAGCCTGGACCAGGGTCTCACCACCCTCACAGCAAAGAATTCCTTCCTCATATCCCATCTCAATCTCCCCTCTTCCAGCTTGAAACCATTCCCCCTCATCCCATCACTCCTGTCCTTGTCCCAAGCCCTTCCCCAGCTTTCCTGGAGCCCTTTCAGGCACTGGAAGCTGCTCTAAGGTCTCCCTGGAGCCTTCTCTTCCCCAGGCTGAACACCCCAACTCTCCCAGCCTGGCTCCAGAGCAGAGCTGCTCCAGCCCTCAAATGTGTGCTCTGAAAGGAACCTTGCTCTCTCCTCTTGCAGAGGCTGCTGTTCCTTCCCTGTTCTTTAGGGGAATAAACATTTTCAAGTATTTTAGGAACCTAAGAACCAGGCCCACTGGTGACCCTGCACTCCTTGTCTTCAGTGCAGCCATGACAGTTTCATGTTGAAGTCTCACTTCCTTACCTGACAAGAGATCTTGGTTGTAGGGAGAACACAAGTATTTCGTTGCTGTGAGCCTGGGGTGGGGAGAGAGAGAAGCAGTTTGGTTCCATGGAAGTCACAGCACTGCACCAGGACCAAATCCCCAGAGGGCTCACACAGACCCTGAGCAGGGAAGCAAACAGCCCAGCTCTGGGCTGGGGAGGTCAAAGGTGGGCAGCAGGATGGACCTCATGTCAACCATAAAGGCAGCAGACAAGGTGAACACACAACTGCTCTGCAAACCTTCTGGGCACTCGGGGAACTACAGCTGAATGCTGACCTCAGGTCAGGCTGCCACTATGAGCATTTCACACTCACTAAGAGAGGAGACACAGGAGGGGAGAGCTCAAAGCAAACTTACAGCTTTGGAGTGGGCAAGCAGGTTGTTGGCACAGCCCCCAAAGATGATCACCTCTCCCTCCTCACTTGCACAAGCCGTGTGCCACAGCCTGGAAACAGAAATCAGGGCTGCATTAAACCAGAAAGGCACCATTGCCCAACCCCGCACGGGTGGGGTTTGGATGCAGAGTTAACACATTGGCACTTCCTCAGGACTCTTGACTGATTGAGAAGGAGCTGCTGCTCAGAGAAGGGAAACTGGGCAGTGAGGCCTGGGCTGGGGAGGTGTCCCGGTCAGGGCTGCAGGGCTCAGGCATGTGCTGGCAAGAACAGGCATGCCTGACCCCCCAGGGCTGTCATGGCTCCATGAGCTGCCTCCACAAACACCCCCCTAGAGTCCAGGGAGTGAACAAAGACAGGCAGTTGTACTTGGTGTTGCTCTCTCAGGGCCTGGGGAAACAAATCACCTCCCATTGTGTTCAGCAACAACACAGCTCTGCCCTGCTGCTGCAGAGGGTGGGGAGCAGCAGCTCAGCCTTGTTACTGCCCCAGGAAAAGAGCCACCCCAACAGCAGGGCCAAAGGGGCAGGCCAGGAAGCACTGCTGCTTGAACCCACCAACCTGGCACCACAACACTTCCCCAAACAAGATGGATCCAGTCACTGACATGACAGGAGTGTTTTCAATGCCACACGTGTGCATCACGTCGTTTTGATGCTTTTAAATTGCAAACCATCATC